ATTTTTAGTTGGAATTTTAATTTATTTTCTAGAATATAAAACATATTTTATTTTTGTGTATTTACTTTTAAAATTTTACATGGAAGGATTTTCATATTTCTTACATAGTAATAGTAGTAGTAATTTTTAATCATTTCATCCTGAGCAAGGCAATAAAGCCCCTAAGATGCAAGAGGTTACTAAGTGTTAAGGAATATGAGAAAAATTACTTTTAAAGAGAAAGAACAAGAATTAAGATAACGATTGATATTGCGCTAAAATTTTTGGAGATCAAATTTGACTAGGAAGTAATAAGTCAGAAGAGAGTTCCACAACTGAGAAGTGCGATATGTAAAAAAGATTCTCATAAGAAAAAGTGTCTAGCACAACATAGTGAACCAACTTTCTTAACTGCAGAGTTAGCAGTTGACTCAGTATATTCTTTCCACGTCATGTCAACTAAAAATGTTAATCTGAGAAGGCACAATGAGCCACTCTTCTGGAGGTTAGCATCAGCCATGCTGATAGAAGGTAAAAAGGTTTCTCTGAGCTTAGACAATTAAGAGACCTGTTTCATTTTGGAGGCATTAAAAAAGTAATGGCTAGCTGCTCTTTTGAATATATATCTAGATTGGCTTGCTAATCCTTGTTACAGACATCTGCTCTTTTTATTTCTCAAATGTCCAGAATCAACTTTTGCTTTATACTGCAACTATACTGAGTGGACCTTAGTTACAGTTTCTAGGTGGTTTGTTGAGAGTGAGTGAGTGCGCATATGCATGTAATCTAGTATAATCATGGCTTAATTGAAGCTATGTGAGTGAAATTTGGTAGACAAGACTGTACAGAAGTTGTTGATGGTAATTTCTTATGTAAAACAATTGGCAATGTTTAACCTGTATACCTGTGGTGGGGGAACTATCAAAAGGACGATTATTCTTTTGAAACTTATTAGTGCATTTTTTTTATTTTTATTTTAATCATATCATTCATAAGGCAGTAGATCCACTAAGACAAGGGGTTACTCAGTGTGAAAGAATAAGAAATTAAACATTATTAAGGAGCAAGAACAATAGAAGAGTAACCAAGAGAACAGTAGATAATGATTGACTTAACATTTAAATTTTCAAAGATCAAAGTTGGTTGGAAAGCATAGAGCTGGAAGAGTTCCGCAAACAAAAAGTGCATGAAAAGAAACTGTTATCATAGAACTTATGGTTACATCTAGCTAATTCAACTGTGAATTGATGAGATCTTGTCACCAATCAAGTACTGTGCTTAAATTCACAAAATCTAGGTACCATAGTGAAGAGTTCATCTGAACAATTACCATGAAAATATTTATAGAAAAAGCACAAGGAAGCTACATTATGGCTGTAGGAAGGTGACTGAAGCCGATACATCAAGTCAGGACCAATAACATTGCTGATTCTTCTTTGGATTTTATCAAAGATGTCTAGACAACAGTAGCACCAGACCATATGTGGCTGCAATATTCAAGGCATGGTGGACTTATAAATATGTAAGATAGATTCAGGTGATAAATATTATCTAGCATGACAGTGAACCAACTTTCTTAGCTGCAGACCTAGCAATTGACTCAATATAATCTTTCCACTTCATGTCAGCCTAGTATGTAAGCCTGAGAAAGCGCAATGAGTCACTCTTCTGGAGGTTAGCATTAGCCATGCTGATGGGAGGCAGGAAGAAGTCTTTCAGGTGATAGAGAAGTTTCATTTTGGAGGGATAAAAATTAACAAGCCATTCCTTGCTCCAGTTAACAGAACATAGGTCATTCTTGAGTTCAGCTGCACATAAGAGAATATAATGAACCCAACTGGAATTGGAACTCATAAGACTTACTTTTTTTTATTGTTTTTAAAATGTGATCATTACAATTTTAATAAAACTCAAATATATGAAAATGTATTTATTTCTTAGATTGAATAAAAATCTTGATTTCATAGTTATTTATAAAATGGTAAATAATAAACACTGCATTGTACTTGGTTTATATATTTCTGTAACCTTGTAAATGAACATTGCTGAGAGAATTCAGTGTATACAGTAATAGCAGTGTCAAGGGAATAAGTGTCCTTTTGACACAATGATTTTTTTTTGCGAGTATGAAGGCTAAACATTGCCAAACAATTATTCATTTCTCAAAATTTACTTTTGTTATTTGAGGATATTTTAAAAATTTCTCATATCCAAAAATGTTTTGAAATTTAAAAAACTGATTTTTTTTTTTTGTTTATATTTGAATTAAATTTCTATTCTCTTCTTTTGCTGAATGTGAAAACTGAAGGACTTTCATATCTAAACATTTCAGGTTTTCACATATTGCTTCATGCCAATTCTTAAATTTAAACAAAAAATTGAAAAAAAATGAAAATTATTAAACTCATAAAAAATGAAGATTTGAATTAAATGTACATTTTTTAAAAGTTGAGGTAATTAAATATACATACATTCAGTCTGTGTTTTTTTTTTTTTTTTTTGTTTTCTTTCACTAGTTTTTATTAGTTGAGAGATGGTGTTTTCAGGATGTATTTTCACTTGAGAGTGACAGATAAATGCCAGTCTGGCAGCAGGGATCTGCTTTCTGGATGGTGTCTCTTCATTGCAACTGAGAAATTCTAGGCATTCTTTGATGTATTTAGCTATTAGTCATATACCAAAAGCATTTTAAGTGTTTAAAGTGTTTCAAATTGTGTTCACTATACAAGGTATCTGTAAAGTCTTTAAGAAATTTTAAAATTTTTAATGAATTTATTCTTACAAAAGATAGAAATATCCAAAAGTAAAAAAATGCCAGCAAAGTGACTTTTAAGTGAGGGTTAGATTTACAATGTACCTATACCCAAATAGACTTTATTTGTATTAGACTCTATATTTGTATTATTGCCTCGAATGTTATTTACAATATTAATATAGTGTTAATATGGGTCATGGTTTTGTGTCCAGCTTGATGTAAAAATGTGTATAATGTATAGAAACTTTAAAAAGAAAAGTTTATTTTATCAGGTTAATTATATATGGTTGAAGTATTGGGAGTTTTGGGGAGGTAGGGTTCTCAACACCATGAAGTTAATCTTGTTTTATCTTGGAAAATTCCACACTTTAATTATGGATTTTATAGACTAATGAAAAATATATTTACTATTTTCAGAAAAACAATGTCATTAGCATTAAATTCACCATCTAAATAGATTTTTTTAAAAATTTAATAGGTTAATTTCCTCAAAGAATTAATAATATTCATCCAAAACTATAAAAATTCTTCAGAAAATACCTTTCTACAAAAATACCCACTTTGATTTAACCAAATTGCTGTTTGATATTTACTATTGAATTGCTTTTTCTTTTCTAAATAGGAGTAGATAGGTTTATCTATTATCTGGTTCACACTCCTCAGTGATCTTTTGAACTTTAGGGATTTATCTGTTATTTCCTGTTTAGGACTAGATTTCTAGTTCCTTCTACTTCAACTTTATACTTATAATGTCTCTGCCTAAAACTCTGAACTTGATTTACTTCTTTTTTTCTCACTAGGGGTAGAAATGTTCAGCTATTGTCTGGTTCAAATGCCTCCCGTTTTTGAACAGGAGTAGAGGTTTATCCCTTGTTTCCTGTTTAGGATTGGGTCCTTGGTTCCTTCTAAAACCTTTGCTTTATCTTTCACTTCCACTGGCCCATCGTGTCTTGGTGGCATTATCTCCTTGCTTGGGGTAGTGCCTCTTACACTGTAACCCTCTATCTTGAGTGGCTCTTGTACAGGGTGAATATCATTGTAACAAAAAATCTCTTATAGATGATATTAAGCCAGTCTAAATGGCACAAGTTTCTTATAGATACTTTTAACATCCTTGTATAGTTTAAGTGTTGAATAATTTCTCTTCTGCATAAATGTATGGAGGACATATTGAATGAGACCTTAACTTTTGAAATTGTCTGTGAGCAGAAAAAATATGATCAATGTTAAAACTGAAGAACAATTGCAGAATATTGTCTCAAGTTATCCAAATGTCTTAAGATATTAGTATTAATTACGGACTATTTTCTCCTTACAAATTTTGTTTCTTTATATTAAAAAAAAAAAAAAATTAAAAATAAATAGAAAACTGATAATCTGAACATACAACTATGGCCCTTGATCAGCATTTCAATGACTTGACAGATTCATCCTCATTTCAATTCTTGTTTATGTTGTTGTGAACAAAAATTGGGAAAGGCCCAGTGTGCTTTCAACAAAGGAACAGAAAATGAGATATTGCCCTAGCAAGAAAAGAAAACACAAATCCAGTTTTCAATACAGTGTTCTTTATTCTAGAATGCAGCTCGCTAAGCAATTTAAATCACTAACCAAACATCACGATGGAACACTAGTTCCTGTATGATCACTGAAGTTAAGCAACATCAAGCCATGACTGGAATTTCCTAGCTTCTGGCCAAGTGTCACTTAATCCCAAAAATTCTTTTATTTTTATTTATTTTCTCCTCACTATCTATTGTGATGAAGGTTCAATCAAGAGCCCTCTGCAGGAGCTAGCTTAAATGACACCTGATAGGGAAGTTTTTAAGCTAGTTTATAATAAATGCACAAACCACTTGCTGCTTATGGTTCCTAGTGTTGTAAGGAATTACTCAGGTTCATTATTGTTTGCCTTTAGCAATCAAACAGGAATTGGAGTTTTAATTATCCAGCTTTCTACAAGGTTTGATACAAGGTTTCAAACTGCTTACAATGGTGTTACTAAGAAGTGATCCATCAAGCACAATGCAAATTAGCTTTCTAGATTAAATAATAATCTAATCTACCATAATTGTGTATAATGTTTTTGCTCAGATTTACTTTTTTGCCTAAAAATTAAGTGTGTATTTATTATAAATGAAAACTAGATATTGCTTTTCTGGCTATATGTATTGCCATATTTGAGATGGCAAAAACAGAAGTAACTCATATCTATGATTCAAACTAAGTAATGTGTAACAATTTAAATCACTAACCAAACATCATATTGAAACACTAGTTCCTGTATGATCACCGAAGTTAAGCAACATCAAGCCTAGTCAGTACCTAGATGAATGACTGCTTGGGAATACCAGGTGCTGTAAGCTTGGATGTGTAGGTGGTGTAAAGGATAGTGGCTCAGAATTGTTAATCGGAAAGCTGAATACCAATTCCCATTGGGTTTGTTTATTCACTTATGCACAAATACTCTCAGTAAATGTATGACTCCAACTCTTCTTCCCCCCAGGTATGGGTTAAATAGTAAGGCTTATATCATTTAAAACCCATTATTATTTCCAAATGTTTGGTTAGATTGATAAATTCAAAATGAATTTATCAATCTAACCAAACATGTTGCCCTGGCAGAGATTGGAGGTTTTGAGGAGCGTGGAACCAACTCTTGATTGCTGCTGTTCCCAGGTCCACTCTGTGTATATATTGGCAAGAATTGCAATCATATAATAGAATGACTAATATAAAAAGAGTTTTGTCATACTTTATTTTTTTTTTTTTTTTAATTTCTTTCTTAAGAAATGGTTGCAATGGCCTTAATCAGTGACTTGTATTATTGAAGGTTTGCAATATAAAAGTAATGAGAAATACTTTTTTAAATAGCAAAAATGCATATACTTTAAAAACATATTTAAATGTTACTTTTTTTTTATTTAAGAATAAGAAAAAAAATGCATGTGGTGTTAAGTCAGAAATATATATGTATTTTGCAACAAGTTGTAACATTTGGAACTGCTGTAGATATAAGCAATTAGTTTTGATTTTTGTGTATTATTAAATTATACTATTTTATATTTATTTGTCTGCAATGCTATTGGTCCTGACTTGGCATCTTTGCTTCAGTCACATTCCCACTAGTGTAATGTAGCTTCCCTGTGCCTTTTCTATAAATACTTGTTCAGATGAACTCTCTGCTATGGTACCTAGACTTTATGAATTTAAGCATGCTACTAGATTGGCAGCAAGATCTCATCATTTTACAGTTGAAATAGCTAAATGTAACTGTAAGTTCTATGTTAAGTTTTTTTCCCTGCATTTCTTGCTTGTGGAACTCTCTTCTCCAGTCAACTTTGATCTTCAAAAATTTAAATGAAATGTCAATTGTTATCTTCTGTCTTAATTGGTGTTCTTTTATTGTTTTCCCTCCTTAATAGTATTTTTTTCTCATATTCTCTTATACTTGGTGACCCCTTATATCATAGTGGTGTTATTGCCTTGTTTATAAAATCTTTTAATGCATTCTTTGTTGGATTTCCTTCTTGAAAGTTTTTATAATTCTTTTCACTGCTTTAATTGATTGCTCTTTTGTTGGAGCCATGTTTCCTTTCTGTTGACCATGTCCAGCAAATTAAGATCTGAAAACACTTTCTTAACTGCTGGCTGATTTGCATATTTAGATTCATGCCAATTTTATATATTTGTCTTATTTGATGTTGAAAAAAAATGCTACGTAATTTATTAAACAAAAGTTGTTTTATGTCTGTGATATTAGTTGCAGCACAATAAAATTTGGTGGGTATAGTTGAAATGTGGTGATTCCATAATTTTTGCCAGGGGTTGTTTGTGTGAGAGGAGGGGCTAGTATTGAAAAGGTTTTCTCTACAGTGGAGTAATGGATAGTGGCCCGGATTGAGGAATCAGAGAGCCTTGTTTGAATTCCAGTCAAATCTGTTGCATTAAATTATGTGCTAATACCCTTGAGAAAGGTATGAATTCGCCTCTTCTCCCCCCAGCTATGGGTAAATAGCAGAACAGACCAGGTTCTATAGCCTTGAATGGCAATTGGTCTACAACAGAAAGAAGTGGCAACCTAGTGCAGGAAAAAATCTGCCTTATCAGTCATGTATCGAAAGATACATGATCGCCTAAGCATGTATCATGCATGGCACATAACTTGACCAAGACAAAAAATAAACAAAAAAAAAACTGTTTGATTAAATTTTTGGGGAAGTGTGTTGCGGCCAAGAATTTTTCAGCAACACCTTAATATTGACCCAAAGTGCTATAAAAAGCAAAAATAATGAGTAAAACTATCAGAAAAAGATAAAAATGAAAATGTGAAAAAATTTCAAAAATGAATTTGTCTTTTCACAACAGTTTACTATAAGTGTTGAATGGGGTGAGTTGTATCTTTCCCTGCTTGCCTCTGTTTTGTCAACTGGAGCAAGCGTAGAAGCCACCAAGTCTAGCAATTTGCACAGAGCCAGGAAATATTACATGATTTTGCTTCCTTTAGACAGAGATGTCATCAGTTGGCTGGGTGACTGGGCTGGTGTGGGGGTTCTTTCAGGCGGAAGTATAAGGGGCAAAGCTGACTGGGGTTGGGTGGAAAGGGGGCTAAGGTTACCCATATTAATAGAATTGATGAAAGGTTAGGATCTATTCCCTGCCATATACCCGCTGACATTCAGCTTTTCTTTAATTATACTTTATTATTATTATTATTACACTATCAAATTTTATTATGCAAGTTAATGTTTTCACAACAAATTGGTATTAACCAAGGGATGTTTCAAGTTTTTAGGATGTACTTACATTAATATGTGCAATATACCATGTAAGTTTCATCTTATCTTTACTCATGAAACAAATATTGATAACTTGTTTTACTTTTGGGGTTATTAGGTTCTGTTATGCAAACAAAGTGCAACACAAATTTTTATTTCAAATCCAAAAGATATATAAAAGTTATAGAAGCATATATTTGATTAATGCAATATCTCATAGAACTAGATGAACTAATAATTAATATTTTATTATCCGACTCTTTGACATTCTATAATGATCAAGTCATTTTCTTTCAATTGATAACTTTTTTATTAATTAACATTAATTACACTCAGACTATTTTCATCTTTGTCGTCTCATGGGGTAATAAGTGTTGGTTTGGGAATTTGATATGGTAATTGTGAGTTCAATCCATGGCCCAAGTAGTATATATAGACTCGGTGAAAATAGGGTGAGCAATAACTGAGCAGAATTAAATAATAGGACAAGATATCCCCAGACATAGACAGAAAATGAAAACAATCGAAGTCTTCCAATTAAATAAATGACCTATGTACATCAAATTGGCTTTAAATTAATTAGTAGCAGAAGAATTATCATTGAACTTTTATAAGGTACGCTTAAATATTAATGCAATACAGTGATCAATTTTGAGTTCTTCTGTAGTTTATTGTTGCATATTACATCTACTCCTCATTACCTATTGTGATGAAGTCTTAATGAAGAACCCTCCATTGGAATTAGCTTAAATGCCAATAGGCCGGCGTTTAAGCTAGTATATAATCTATTCTATTTTTTCTTGTGTGTGTAATATTATTCACAATCTAGAGATACTCTAATCCTAAGCAGAAATACCAATCTATACAATATTTTGCTGTTATTTTATGGATACTACATGTGTTAGGTTCTTTTGCATTTTATCACTCAATAATCTACCATTAAATGATGACATATATTCTTTCTCTATTTGTATATTTTTTTTTTTTTTTTAATTGACATGTGTGAGCACAAAGTTTTTGTGAAATGTGTTTTTGGCTGGTCTTGCAGCTTTTGTCAGTGCTTGAAATATTAAATAGTGTTTTTGAATGGGGCTAAATTTCAAATCCAGTAGATATTAATGACTTGAGTGTGAGAATCATCAATCTTTTGGTTGTCATATATGAAAAAAAAAAAAAAAAATCATGTACATGTATATATTTGCCAGTTCGGTTGGCAATGGATTAAGTTCTTAAACTTCAGCAGAATATATTGGGGTTGGTGCATAATTATCTGGTGTTTTTAAACAATATTTATTATGAAAAAAGAAACATAACAACTCAACAATAACATTTTTAAATGATTGTTCCAGAGCATATGATTATTGAGGTGCATTTATATAACCTGAAAATAAAATAATATTTTTATTAAAAAAAGTAAACAAAACAACATTTTTTATTAACAAATAATTCACCTACAAAAACGCCTGATAATTATGCACCAACCTAATATGAATTTGATTTTAATGTTTCTTAACTATTCATAGGTTTATTAAATATTAATACTAATCTACATAGTCATAATGTGTATAATGCTTCCAATATTCTTATGAAAGAACTTTGTCTACATTAAAGTGAACATTTCTCTTTATATCCTTTCACTAATGAATTTATTTTTAATCTGAAATTTTTTGTTACTTCAAACACTATTATAGTGGACACTTCATATTGGAAATAGATACCTCAGTTTTATTTATTAAACAGTGTGTATTACACCTGGATTTTCACATTCAAGAAATCCTAGTGGAGACAATATGTTCTCTGGCAGGAATTGAATCTGTGTCCCCATTTGTAGGGGAAACCAGCATTTGATCCAGCATGATTTATCACTTGACCATGAAGAATGTCACAGTAAGCAAGGTTCTATTTCCCCTTTTTAAGGAAATCACATCTTCATCCGGATTAATTTCTCAAAACCTCATATTTGCTCAGTTTCATATCCAAAACATAAACCAAGCAATTTTGAAAGACAATTTTAATACTTGAAATGTTATTAGGTACCCCATTTTTATTTATTAAACTGTATTATGTCTATCAGCTTGCAGCATTTGAGAAATCTTAGTAAAGAAAGGATTTCTCAAATGTTAATGTGCAGGCCTATACACTTAATACACACTGTTTAATAAATAAAAATGGAGTGTCTATTTCAAATATGAAGTATCCACTATAATAATGTTTGAAGTATTATATTCTCACTCTATTTTCTTCTAAAACAAATATGAGGTCTGATCAAAAAGTATTGGGACTGGTGCTATAAAAAGAAAACTACAACACATATCAATTCATCATTTAATCTCCTTCAAAGTAGTTCTCTTCTGAAGCCTCATATTTTAGTGTTGTTTCCATTGATGGAAGCATTCCTGGAACTCCTTTTTTGGAATATATTAAATGATAAATTGATATGTGTTGTAGTAGCTGCCTTGTAGGATTGTTTTGTTTTTTTTTGTTTTTTTTTGTTGTTTTTTTGTCCCCCCCCCCAAGAGGGAAAAGTCACAAGGGGCATAATTTTGGGCATATGGTGGTTGTTGGACCTGGTGAATGTTGTACTTG